GCTCAATAGCAAAAAGACTTTGATTTGTTTCTATATGTCGGCAACAACATAAGAAAAGCAACAGGAAACTAATGCTTTAGCTGAACAAAAATAAGGGTTTTAGAAATTGCATCATTCAAAACTTTCATCTCAATGATTTGAACTTGCAAAAGAAGAATGTCAATAATTCAAAAAAAAAAATCCTCTAAGCTTATAGCGTACATATAACAATAATATTATACAGTATAGATGTTTACATCTTACGCTCATGTATGTTAGAATGATACTTGTGCACAGGATCAAGGTAGTTATTCATATGTAAAACAGTCCCGAGCTAGATCAGCATAAGTTAATCATCATAAATAAGGGCCTGTTTGTTTCAGCCTGTAGTTGACTTCTGGAGGCCAAAAGACGAAGCTGAAACCAACAGGCAGCTGGAGTTTGGCTGCCAAAAGCTATGTTTCTACTAAAGGCCAGAAGCTGGTCTGGAGAGGCTTTTGCTGGCTTCTGGGAATGCTGTTCCAAGGGGCATTGTATTTATTATATATTTCATTCATCCAAAAGCTTATCCACAGAGACAGCTTTTCAAAAGCAGGCTTTTACTAGCAACCAAGAAAGCAAGTTTTTTACCAAAAGCCACAACCCAAACAAACAGGATCTAAAAGTGTGCAATTTTGCATACTGTGACCACTAACTAAACATAAGCAAACAATTTTTCTATTTTAATTAATTTATCAGTTGCATTGGCGGAGCATTTCTGCAAAAAGCATACCACCATGCCACACTCAGTTCCTATAGTAAATTTTATAACTAATGATACTACCAATCGATAAATCACCCTAAACAGCCCTTGCAGTCATTAACTAATGACAGTTACTGTTTTGGACAGTGGATACAGCACTTTGCATAAAAATTAAGGTCAGAAAAATACTAACCATGAACTGTTATTTCCAAATCTTGTTGAATGCTGTAACAGTCCAGAGATATCCTCCCGCCGCCGCCGCCACCCCATCCATTACCACCAGCAGCACTTATTGTGCCATTTCCATATCTAAGAAGGGCATGCCATAATAGAAGTTAGATTTCAAAAGTCACAACAAAAAGGTGTAGCATAGGTTATGAGGATTGTTTCAGTGTCCTTCCAGGGGGAAAAGGTCTACAAGTCACAGAATTTCTATTTCTTTTTCCACTTCATTGGCAGTGTCCTTGATAGGGACAAACTTGTCCTTACAATAATAAACTAATAATTTCTGGGTTAACCACGGGCTGTAGCTAAACCAACTCTACAAGTCACATAAATTCTCTTTTCCACTTCCTTCTTTTTCCAAAGGGATGTACTGTTTCTAAAGAATGTGAAGTTCCGACCAAATTCTGCAGAGGCATGGTTGTTCATATAATTCTATAAATTTCTAAGTGGGCACATCATAATGTTTTTAAGGGAAAAAATAGGTTATGAGAACACTCAACTAGATTATGCACGGCAATTCAACCATTTAGATAAGCCTGACTAGTATGGTATGAGTTCCTAAGGTACGAATTAGTTTCCCCCTTGATTCTATGGCAAGCAGGAACAACCAAGAAACAGCATGTAAGGGTTTCCCCAGCTAATATCAGCATTGTTAGGAACAATAGAAGCAAATTTATTTACCGAGTGAAATCCACTAGAGGTCCTTAAAACTTGTCCCGCATTATCAAATAGGTCCGTGTACTCTTGAAACCAGATTTTCGGGTCCCTAAACTTGCTAAATGTATCACTCGGGGTCCAAACCGGTTTTGGAACCTTGGTTTTACACACGTGGTGTCACCCTACTGTCGCTGGGAACAGCGCGCCCGACATGTTCGGAAGCGTCATGCCCTTCGTGTCAGGCGATGGCGGCGGGATCGGGCTCAGTAGCGCGCTAGGAGGGGCGTCGTTTGTCTCCACCGTCGTCGCTGGCGCCGTCGTGCTTGCCGTGGGACATGGGTGCGCGGGGCGGGGCCGCCATCGAGTGGCGCAGGTTCGTGCGGGACCTGTTACAGACAGAAAGGGAGACGAGGCAACATCGACAGGCACGTGGCCACCGTCTCAAGGATCGCGGCCACCTCACCGGCGTCCAGCACGAACGTTCATGTTCACGGCGTCCGTCCAGTTCGCGATGGTTCGAGCGATGACGGCACGGAACCTCTCTGCATCCCCGACGGCGCCCGCGGCACTGGCGCCGTCAGGCATGCACGACTACGCCGAGCTGCTCGGCATCAGCGGATCAGCCTCACGCGCAGCTCCGCCACGCGTCATGGGGTCCGCGGCCGAGTCGGACGGGGCCACAACGTGGCTCAACGCCGCGCTGACGAACTAGGGCACCTGCCGCGACAGCCTGGCCGCCGTGCCGCTACCGGACGATCCCGCGGGGAGCGACGCCGTGCGTAGGCAGGTGCGCGCTCGCGCGGTTCATCAGCACCACGCTTGCGCTGCACGTCAGGAAGGTCAAGGTCGGGAGCAGCGCCGGCGGCCCGCCGTCCATGGCGGCTACGCCATCACGTGAAGGCACCACATTCCCGTCCTGGCTGTCCAAGCACGACAGGAACCTCCTGGAGTCGCTGCCCCTGGCGCCCACAAATGACATCGTCGTCGCGCCGGACGACAGCGGAACGCACACGAGCATCAACGAGCACGTACTATACATGGCACATGCACTGAGCATCAGCCCCAGCATCAGCCCTTTGCACGAGCACGTACCCGCGCTCTGCATCCACGTGCCCGCGCTGGCCGACGGCTTCAATCTTCTGGACCCGATCGCCATCGTCGTCCTGTGCACCACCTCCGCGCTCACCGTGTCTGACGCGCACACCATAACTCCGCTGGCCGCGGGGTTCTCGCACTTCGAGCCCACCAACCTCAGGCCATCCTTCTTCCCCTTCGGCTCCGCTGGTGTCTTCCGCAGGTGTCTTCCGCACCGCAGCCATCGTGTACTGGATTACTGGTCCTACACGGGGTTCGACATGGTGGCCACCATGACCGAGGAGACCAAGAACCCCGGCCGCGACATGCCGCTGGGCCTCATCTCGTCCATGTTGGCCATCACCCTCGTCTATTGCGCCATGCCCCTGGCACTCGTGGGGATGCAGCGGTACAGCGACATTGACGCCAACACGGCCTACTCAGTGGCATTTTTTGGCGGCCGAGATGAAGTGGGCACGCGTACGTGGTCCTGGTGAAAGCAATAGAGATTGTGTGGAATAGTAGATTGATTAGGGTATACAAGGTATACAAATATATAGGCAGCCCTTGGGAGAGGTTTATAGAAACAGAACCAATCAAGGGATAACCTGCCTATCCTAATCTATCTAGGCATGGCAGGAAGCCGGCCTGGGCCTGGCGCACAGCCACAGGAGGCCCATACACACGCACACAGCACATACATATCTAACACTTGGGACTACTACTCGCGATGCTCGCCACGGCCACCACGGACGCGAACTCCCCTCCGCGCGGCGATGGCGGTGCATGGTGGGTCTGGCAGCGCGCAGACGGCGGTGTCCGGGTGCTACGCGGGCCCGCTGTTCAACACGGTGGTGGGGCTGGGCCTGTCGCTGGCGTTGGCATGTGGCGACGGGCGCGCAGCATGCCACCCCGCTCATGGTTGCCTGCGAGCGAGGCGGCGTACGAGGTGTGCGCGGGTGCGGTCAATCAGGGCTTGCGCCACTGAGGAGATACATGTGTAAAACCAGGGTTCCAAAACCGGTTTGGACCCCGGGTGATACATTTAGTAAGTTTAGGGGCCCGAAAATCTAGTTTTAGAAGTACATGGACCTATTTGAGAACGCGGGACAAGTTCAAGGAGCCCCAGTGGATTTCACTCTTATTTACCTATTATAAATAAAATTTTAGGCTATGACAGGAAATCATATAATGATTTGAATATTAGAAATACTTGATGAGTAAATGCCACTGCAATCATCAACCACTTTGAGAAATGCCACTGCAATGGTAAGCCGTAAGCCTCTAAAAACTGCCATTACAAACGCTTGAGGCTGGCTTTAGAAGAATACCATGCCACCACCGCATTTTGTGACATTGGACAAAAGGACCATTACCTTTTTCCCCTATCTCCATTGACAGACCTTCAAGTGCACAGTTCCCTTAGGAATCAAAAGCATGCCCATAATCTGAGGTGGTTCCATTTCATTCAATGACATGTTTAGAACAATGCTACAGATGCGCAAAGCAGAGCATGCGGGTCATCACCACCGCAACTTCATTTCCTCAGTAATCATGGAGAGCATTTCTGTGCTTGGGGGTGTAAATCAATCATGGCTGTCTATGGCATGTTGCAAATTGATCCTGCCGCAGGTATATCCCTGCTTTTTTTATGGCCGCAATGTTTCATGTCATCAATTAACTGCTCGTCTTGTGGTTTTGTATTCCTCACCAAGGCACTACGTGATCAAAGCAACCTGGGTCCGACTCAACCTCTTGGCACGATACCCTGACGAGATCATGTCCTGATCAATGACAAATGACAGGGAGAGAGAACTATCTCAATGTATGGCTCCCGCAATAAAGCAAAGAACAAGCTCATCACTGTGTAGGGTCCATCTTCCTTTTCTGATCAGAAGCTAGAAACTAAACTTTTCTTCATAGTTAATTGCAAACAGTCTCGTCCTTGTAATACCAAGCTGGAAAAACACCCAACTAAGATAAAGGACATAACGCACAGTACAAAGCAAGCCAAGGTGACCACAATGAAGATTTTATAGCTAGCGGGAACATCAAATATTGGTCAAGAAAAGAAAAACAAAGCCACTTTGGTCCAAAGACAAGGTGAGTGATATGTATTGGAGTTGGAGAGTCCCAAAAGTTTGGAATGACATTGTCAGGAGCCTGACGATTGCAGTGGCTTTTCTCACACTGGTGATGACTGCAGAATCAGTTAACAGAGTATCCCAATACTAAACAGAACATGGTTTCTAAGTCCCCAAAGAATTTAGATTGCCACGGTAACTCATAGTAAAAACAGATAGAAGTTTGGGTGACATGGATCTTACAGCTTGAAAGCCTGTATTATAATGCTTCCCCCCGAGCCGCCGCCACCTTTGAGACTGCCAACACCACCTTCAGCAAGCACCTGTCCATCAACATTCAGAAAGTCGGTTGTCCTAAGCATGACGCGGCCTCCACCATACCCTCCAAACTGATCAGCGGACATGCTGCCGCCCATGCTGCCATAGCTCCAGGGCCAATCCAACGTCGACCACGCATACACATCGCCTCCCCAGTTGGTGTCATTGGAGACTTTACATGACGCACCCCTCCCACCATGTCCACCACCTGCCCCTTCCAGGCTGTGCGGCGTCCCACTCGTCTGGGGAGGAGGCTCACCAGCGAGCGCAGTGGTGTTGATGGTGGAGTGGCGATCCAACGACACATTGGCCGCGTACAGGCTAACCGACCCTGAAATCACCTCGACATGCTCGCCAATCCTGATGCTCCCCGAGACATTGACGGTGATGTAGCATCCCCTGACGGGGCAGATGATCTTGACGTGGGACCGAATCTCCACGCTCCCGTCGCCGTACACGCACAGATCACCGTCCAGCGAAGAGCTGGAGCTTATAACGCAGGTGGTGTTGAACGACCCGGAGCCGTTGAGTTCCTCGCAGGACCTCGAGTTCGCCGAGTACGTCTGGCACGGGAGCTCCCCGCGAAGCCCCACCGCGCCCTCGCCGTCACCGCCACCGCCGCCGAACTCAACCGGAACCAGCGCGAACCGGTCGTCGTACCACGTCTCCGACACCGACGCGAGCGCGGACAGAGTGCGGTTCCCTCGAGCGCCCACCAACGCGGCGGCCACGAGAAGGACCCACCACGCGACGCACCTCATCGTCGCCGCCGCCGCCGCCGGTCACTCCGAACCATTGCTCTGCTCGCCGAGCGCGGAGGCGAGCAGAGGAACCGGAACGCCCCGCTCGCTGGCAGCGTCCCCCCGATTCGGCACCCGAAGGAAACGGATCGTGCGGCGGCGGCGGCGGCGCGCCCAACCGCCTCGCCTGAGGAGAATGCGGCGGCGGGCGGATCGACGCGGATCTCGGGAGCCAAGCGAGAGATCTCCGAACCCCTGGCGCCCGCGCGCGCACGGCGAGGGATGATGGGTAAGCGAGAGAGTGGGTTGAGGGGAGCGAAAGAGGAAGCGCAGTGTGCTTGCTGCTGGCGAGGACTCGGAAGTTGGGAGTGGCGAGGACAGAGAAAGTAGAGAGAAAAGGGGATGAGACGGCCAGCTCCAGCCTCGATCGTAATACATATATTTTTTTCTCACTTTCGCAGGTGCAGCAGCACGAGAGATGATGAGTCCACGCCACGCTGCTGGCCGCTACTGTCTGTGTCTGTTTCCTCTTCTGCTCCCGTGCCAGAAACGTTCACGGCAGAAGAGAAAAAAATACTGAGACAGTATCGGTTCAAGACAGGATGTCACCACAGTATTGCTCCCGTGCGACGCTATCAGCCAGGTCAGTTTCACGGCAGCTTGGACCACGCCACGCTGCTGGCCGCTACTGTCTGTGTCTGTTTCCTCTTCTGCTCCCCGTCCCTATCTCCTGTCTTGACCGCCGTGAACGAGGAAGCTCAAGTCGGCTGATAAGTTCTCCGTCGCCCACGCTGGGTACGGTACGTGGTGACCTCGGCGGGCGTGGCGTGTGGCTCTTTGCTACGGGCTGATGCGTCGCCAACGGCCACGGCTTGTTTAATCTGCTGGTGTGAAACTGACCTGGCTGATAGCGTCGCTAGCTAAGATGTACTAGGTCGAGAACTTTCTTTTAGTTTGATTACATTTTCAAAATAAGTCAAGAATATTAATCTTGCAATGCTACCGGCTACGATTGGGATAGAGATTTCAATCCATACACATGTTCGCTGGTTGGTTTCAGCCAGACTTATTCAATTAAACAACAGTATTTTTCTCTTACAACAAATCAGCACTAACCAGTTCAAACCAGCTCAGAAACCAACCAACACACACGCCGATAATCTAAATTAGAAGAATCCGTGTGGATGTTGGAGGGTTGCTGTGGTCCGGTCGGCTGGACAATAGCCCCACACCAGTAACTTTTTTTCTCGAGACTGGCAGCACGTGCTCGGACTGTTTCTTCTGTGGGCTGTTTGGACTGTTACTTCAGTGGGCTGTTTCGACTATTTCATCAGTGGGTCCATTTTGAAGTGTTATGGCGTGTTTGGTTGCCCCTCTTAAATTATAGTCGTTGTCCCATCGAATGTTTAAACACATGTATGAAGTATTAAATATAGACTAATTACGAAACTAATTGCATAGTTTGCGACTAATTTAGAGACGAATCTTTTAAGCCTAATTAGTCTATGATTTGATAATGTTTTGCTACCGTAAACATGTGCTAATGATGGAATAATTAGACTTAAAAAATCGTCTCGTGGAGTACTGACGGATTATGTAATTTGTTTTTTTTATTAGTATCCGAATACCCCATGCAACATCCTCCCGACATACCTCATAAATTTTAGTCACCGGATCAAACACCCCCTTACTTTTTTGTTTGTATCGAATAACTACTTGAATCAAAAGCACAGAGCTGCTATTGACGTGATTCTTTGATGACGTTATACAGAAATTAATCAAAGAACCAAATTGCATATAGCGTTAAATAACTATAAGATGCATATTGAAATTATAGAACAAAATCTGGACAACTTGTTGAACATTTAAACTTGTCTGAACTGTTGTTCAGTGATCTATTCTTCAAGGGTAGCTGAAGTGTTCCATGAGTTTAGTGATCTGTTTTTCAAAGGTAGCTGAAGTGTTCCGTGAGCACATTTTAGCAAATTTAATTGGAGAAATGATTAACCTAAAAATTTTTATAAAAGCCTAATGTTGTAAGGCAAAATTGTTGAAAGAAAGAATAAGTGCGTGTAATATTTGATAGAGGAACTCTTACATTATCATAATAGAATTTTTCCATAAATTATGAGTTAGCCTTATTATAAAGGCTTGTTGCTATCTAGAAAAGGAAATTTGCACGTAGAGCTAGAATATCAGCCTAAAATATAAGAAGTTGTGCATATAATCAACATTAATTGAATATAGAAAATTAACATTTCAATAAGAAGTTCTAGATATTAGTTACTTACATTAGAGAAGTTTTGAATAGTAGTACCATCAAAGGTTTGCATAAACTGCAAGACATGTATTCCTGAATCATACCTACATTGAATAGTAGTACCATTGAAGGTTTTGAAATAAGTTCCAAAACTACTAAAGATTAAATACTACATTGAATCAAATATAAGAAGAATGTAACAAATTGGAATAAAATTAGAAGTACTGAAGAGAAATTCTAAAATTCAACAAGAAATATATTGAACTGGAAAGTATGTAGTTACCTGAAGTTGCATTTTGGGATGCTCAAATATTGAACTTGAAACTTATATATGTTGTAGGCCATGGTATATGGAAAATTTTGATTGAAAAGTTTTCTGAAGTTCTTAGCTACATTTTGTACTGCATTTGTTGTTGTGCTTGTAGTCTGATTTGGCTCAAGTACATGAAAAGCTTTATGTATAAAGTTGACGACAACCAAAAACCATTGGTTGTTTGTAAAACATGGTATATGAAGCTGTAAAGAATAGATGGTGGATGTTAAAATATAATTTTAAGTAACTTAGAAGTAGAGACATGAAGAATCCTTGTACTTGTTAAAATTAAAATTTTCTTCCATGAACATAGACTATACAAAAAGGGTGAATAGGTTAGTAAGATTGTTTCTATTGATTGATACAAATGTTTGTTGACAATACATACATCAACACTATGATTAAAAATTACAGGTAAAGATGACCATCAATATGAGACATGAATGACTGATTGCATGAAAGCATTTTAATAAAACAATCCATCACGTGGAAATGAATCCAGCCACCATTCATCATCAACAATGACAATTTGTATATGTCTACCCATGCCACTCCAATTTGAATGAATTTGAAACTGCTTCATAATAAAAAAAACTAGATAAAAAACTTTAGAAATTAACTTACATAACAGTTATATTTATGTAAATAAAACTAATATAATAAAGTTTAGAAATAAAGTTACCTTCTATGATATTTACTTATGTTATCAGTCAACAAATGGAATAACTTATCTTCTATTTCTGAAGCAAATATTGTATATATGTCATTCCTAACAGGTCTTGCAAGAGGAATCTGGTTTTGTGGATTGTAAGTCTTGTCAAGTCCTTGTACTAAGGAGGGCTTCAAGTTGTCTAGATTGTTAGCTTCATCTTCAATCATTTGAGCAGCGTTTCTTAAGTTTTTTTTAAGACCATTGAGAATGGTATCATTAGGTTCTTTTAATTCATGAGGTACAATACTGTTTACTGTTGACTTGGTGGTTTCTGTAGTTTTCTGAACAACTGTCTCAATCATTTGTCTATTCTCAATGGCTTGAATACTTTTTGAATCTGCGATAGGAAGTGTTGATGCATATAGAACTATTGGCTTAGTTTGCAGTTGAACTTCTATATCTGCTAAAGAAACATTTGTTACGTCCCCTAGGGAAACCAACCTATCACTATGAAGACCTTTGTCAGAACTGTACTCATGATTGCAATTAATATTTGATGTATTTGGCACAAGAATATTACTTACAATTCAACTATTTGGCTGTCATCATTGTCGTGAAGTTGAAGCGGAGGAACTTTAGAATCAATGAATGAAAATTTACATACTTGGCTCCTATATGATATTAAAAAAATTAAAAACACAAATGCCACAAATTTAAGTTAGATGTATATGAAACCAAATTGGTATAACATATGTTTCCTTATTACCTAATTATGTTACCAAAGAAGAAAGGTCAGGTTGAAATTTTTTGAATATGTCTACAACTTCAAACTCTGGTATATCAATTGCTTGTCTAGAAGATTCAATAATCTCTTTCCATATTAAATCTTCAAAACTTTGTGTTGGAATTGAAAATTCGGAAGTAGAATCATTAATTGCTATGTTCCATTGATTTTATGCTGTAGGTATCTTTGACATTTTTGATGAAATATCAAGTAAGTTGTTGTTCAATGTTGACCACATATTGGAATAGGAGGCAGGAAATTTCTTCATAAGAAAGCTTGTCTCTCCATGAGATGGAATAAATGTTGGCAAACTTCTATCACATGCTGGACGACATATAACACTATTGCTTATCTGTTCTTCGTCTGAATCAGTGTCTTCAGGATAGCATGATTTTTGTTGCCGGCAACCTACTACTAAATATATCTGTGAATAGACTTTTGTAATGAAGCATAAATGCCCGAAAATAATTTTGGTGGAACTAAATCATTTAACTTCTGTAGGAGTTCATGAAAATTTTCCAAATCCTATAAATTTAACATTTTGTTAAAAATATGATAGTTAATTCCATAAAATAGAAAAAGAACAATATATGTGTTTCATATGGATAACATTTTCTGGTATGAAGTATATTGTTGATTGTAATTTTGGCATAGTTTTACATAGTCTACACCATCAACAAAGTGTCTCTTTGGAAAGGAAATGTGCGAGGTAGCAATGAATTTTATACAAATAACTTGGTTCCACATGTACATTGCCCTCCTTTGAATATAGGTGAAAGAATGGATGAGATTGGTTGTTTTGGGCCCACATAGGGGGTCAACCGACCCCCCCCCCTATGGGTCCATTGCCCCTCACAAGCCTCCATGATCCTCCCTAACACCTCCACAAGTAATATCGACCCTTGGATCACAATTGTGTTTCTTCTCAATGGCTCAAGATAAGAGCACATGGATTGGATGGCCCACATGTCATCAAACCAACATCAACACATGGTCCCACCACTTCATACCC